CCTCGGTGTCACGCCTGCACCTCGCTCAGCCAGTGAGCGGGAACCGGTCTGTATGTGGGATCCGAACCCTCGGCGGGATTGCCGCCGCACTCCCAAGCGGCGCACTGTAGCAGTGCGCCACCGGGCCGGCCCCCAAATGACTGAGTCTTGATGATCATCATCTCATAATCATCTGTTCTCAAGTTCGTCCATTTTAAAAGGAAAAATATGTATTTTGTTAATTATCTTATTTATTGACTAAAAACAAATATCAACCTTTTTAATGATGTAAATAAATCTCTGAGTACTTTTGTGAACTCCTGAGGGTTCATATACCATCAGTTTAAAATACTGACTTCACTCAAAGAGAAAATAGGACTTGATACAAAGTTGAAGCCAAATTTATAGCCACATTTTTCATTTTTCAAGTGCATACTACTGAATGACATATACATAGTTTAGTAAATTTATTCCACTTCATCTTTTCTTTCATCTTTGTATTCTATCCCATTTTTCTTTTCTTTCAATTTTTGCACTTATTTTTATATCATATATAATTACATGCTCCCTCAATTCCTCATTGCAGTGAGGCAGAGTCCATTGGCAAATATTTATACTGAAGCAAAGTTTATTAGACATTTTTTTTAAAATGTAGGAAACCTATACTCAAGTTCTAGGAAAAATGGCATTCTAAATAAGGTTGTGTTATGTGTTATGATTTTACTTTATTGTATTAACTAACATTAAACTTTATTTGAAGCGAGTTAAAAATAATGATTGAATTAAGAAAGTGATTGTTCTAATGTTTTCCAGCTGCTAATAGGTTATGAAAATGGTACTGTAGTATTCTGGGACTTGAAATCTAAAAGAGCAGAACTGAGAGTTTATTATGATGAGGTAAGTAATTTCTACTGAAATATTTGAAAAGAGTACTGTGATTTTGTGCCTGTTTTCTACTTTTAAGCTTTATATTTTACCAGTATTTATATCATTGGGAAATTGCCTGGTTCTGACCCAATTCATCAACCAATTCAGAGTTGGTATTTGCACAAGTTCCAACTCTGGGTTATTCTCCTGATTGGGAATTCTGTCTTGACTGCCCATTTGGGGGCCCTTTGTTTGGCATCTTATGTACTTTGGCGCCTGTCACTAAAACTATCTCCCCAACTTTGTCTCAACTTCTTTTCTGTCCTCTGAGATCCATGATTATGACTTGCTTCATTGATCTTAAGGTCTCTAAAGGCACTATTCATATCTTCATTAGAAAATTCACATTCTGGGGTAAAGAATTTAAATCAGTTTGAGAGGCCTTATCTTCTAATTCTTGCCCTCTTAGAATAAAGAGAAATTTTGTAAATAATAATACTTAATAAGTGACAATAAGGGCTGGCCCAGTGGCGCACTGCTACAGTGCGCCGCTTGGGAGCACGGTGGCGCTCCCGCCAAGGGTTCAGATCCCACATACAGACCGGTTCCCGCTCACTGGCTGAGCGAGGTGTGGGAGCAACACCGAGGTTTGCAATCCCGTTGCCGGTCCCGGTCCGGTACGGGCGTGACACTGAGGGTTGCGATCCATTGCCGGACATGAAAAAAAGGAAAAAAAAAAAAAAAAAGTGACAATAAGATCTTGAATTTGTTTTGATGTGTATAACTGAGACTTGATTAGGTTTTTATTTAGGGGAAGGAACAAACTTCAAAGAACTTATTAAAGAATAGTCTCCCAGTTGTTTAGAGACTGGTTCCAGATCATTAATTATTTCCCCCTTCAGAAGAGTCTAATATGAAGACTGTGAAGCTGGGGGCAAAAGGTGAGAAGAGGAATTACCTCTGGTAGTTGTAGAAATATAGGCAATTGTTTATTCTATTAATTAAATTTGAAAAATGGAGTGGGGAGAGATAGAAAGAAAATATAGGTTAAAAAATCTGTCCAGTTGTATCCACTCTTATACGGAAAGAGTGCCAGAAAATTTAAGATAGCATTAAAATAAACAGAAAAAGAAACACACACATTTCTTTTAAAACACTTCCTCTTTTTATCATTGGAAGAATAAAAAATGTCACCAAATGAACCTGCAGTCATCCTAGGATACTTTGCATGTTCTCTCCTATCCCCTCATAAAAGTTACATTTTTGGAGTTTAAGTGCTTATAGAAATAAGCCTTCACCTATTTCATAAACTCCCCAATTCATTTCTTAGTGGTTCTCTCAAACTGAGATTTCATGGTACTTTTAAGATAGTTGTCTTAGTGGTCAAGAGTTCAGAAGTAAATGATATAGCAGCTAGGTAGTTTTGTCATGACTCGTGAAAAACAATCTGACAAGTAATGTCATACAATTACGTTCTTTATGATCAACTTCCAGGGCATTTTGAATCATAAGGAAAGAAGCTCCTAGGGAGCTAAGCTAGGATTTTCCTTTCGTTAAGTACACAAATGATAATAATGGGGATGGATATTGCTTCCTCTGTCAAAACTGGCAGCTAGGTAAGATCTGGGTATTTAGCCAGCTGGAATTAGAGTGAACCAGCTCAAAAGGAAACCCAAAGGAAAATGCTGAATCAGCTAGTTTTCCTATAGCCTTAAAAAGTATAGAAGGAAGGTTTCCAACCTTAAGAAATGACTAAAAGTAATTTTGCAAAGAAATTTAAAATAGGAGTTGGCAATAGCCTAAGTTAGTCAGTAGAGTACTACAGTATATCTAATCTATGCTTAGAAATTATTTTAAACATTGACTTTTTTTTTTTTTTTTGTCTTTTTTCGTGTCCGGCAACGGATCGCAACCCTCAGTGTCGCGCCCGTACCGGACCAGGACCGGCAACGGGATCGCAACCCTCGGTGTTGCGCCCGTACCTCGCTCAGCCAGTGAGTGGGAACCGGTCTGTATGTAGGATCCGAACCCTCGGCAGGAGCGCCGCCGCGCTCCCAAGCGGGGCACTGTAGCAGTGCGCCACCGGGCCGGCCCCTAAACATTGACTTTTAAATGAACATAAATCTACCATCTGTTTATCTACTTTAGTAAATAATTATGTCTTTTTAATAAAGATAGTCATATACTTCATTTTACTGCCAAACTTTTCAAAATTTCCTGAGCACTTTACGAGTCATATCTAGAAACCATCTTTATACTTATCAGAAATAGTTTCTCGTAAGTCAACAGTGATCTCATTACTATACATAGTGACCCCTTCTTAGTCTTTAAAGTCTTTAAATTCCTCACTAAACCTGTGGCTTTACCTCAAGCCCCTACTTCTTAAAATCGTTTCTTCACTTGTTTGTATCTTTCTACCTCATTTTTCATGCCTCTTTTCTCCATCATTGATTCTTTCCTTGGCTTTCTTTTAAGTTATAGATACTCTTCAGGGTATTATATCTTCACCCTCTTTTCTTCTCTCCTTCTATTTACATTTATGTTTGTGTCCTCTCCTATCATTTCAAATATTACCTTTGTACTAATAGATTTAACATCCAAACATTTCTAGCCTTTATCTCTCTCCTGAGCTCTAAGATTTAATTATCTAACAATCAATTATGTAAGTCCAGATGAATATCCAATTTGCACTGAATTTATATTTACAGACCTGAACCTCCTTCTCTGTTCTTTTTCAGTTTTAAAATCTAATCTAAATTTTGATTAGATTTATTAATTTGGTTAATTTGGTTTAGAACCCTCAGAGTAATATTTGACTCTTTTTTCTTCATATACCATTTACACTCAGCATTTGCAGCCTTCTTGATTTTGTCTTTATATTGTCTCATTTATTTCCTCTCTTTTCCCATTCCCATATTCAATGTCCTAGGTTAAGGTATCTTTTGACTATAAAAGCCTTTAAAATCCTTTCCTCTGATAGCTTACCTTTTCAGTATATCTTTCACTAACAAGATTATCACTTTGAAACAGAGATCAAGTAATTCTCTACCTTAGAACATTTGAATGGCTCCCAATTGTCAACAATACAAAATCCATATTCCTTGGCATGAGATTTAAAGCCCTGATGCTATCTTTTCCCATTAGTCTAATTCACTGTATTCTTCTACACACTACACACATTTCAGACATATTACTCACTATCTCCTAAACATGCCATTTATTTCTTACCTTCAAGCCTTTGCTTCTGCTAATCCCTTATCATGAACTCCCCTTTTTCCTCTTCTATATATCAAAATCCTATTAATTCTTTAGCCACTGTAAAGCTGTTTGGATGTATAGCCTTTGATGTATAGCCATTGATGAACTGAGAGTTTTGTTTTGAAAATCCAAGATTATTTTCAGAAATAACTATATGAATTTTACTTCCACATTATCTGTGAAATTTTTGCTTCTTTACATTGACATTTCTTAATCTCTCACAGTGAAATCCCTCAGAGTTTGGCATGAGGAAAATCTTTTAATTCCTGGAGGAACTGCTAAATTTCCTTTTTTCAGATTATTACACAGTTTTTGGGCTTTCCTTTTTCCTTTTTGTTTTTATGAAACTCAATCATAGCCACTGAGATGACCCAAGCTGGCTAGTGCTTTATCTTTCAAATTTGTTTTCTATCTTTTAAAATTCTCCTTGAATTAGTTGTATTATATTTGGTTTTACTGTAAACCCTTTAAGTCTTCTCTTTTTTTAAAGAAAAGAGTAGAGTATAATCAAATAAATAGAAATTGAATATTTATCCATTAGGTCAGTTCAAATACTAGCTCCTCAATAATGCAGTAGCTGACATGATGATCTCCAATAACAAGTTGGTTTTACATTCCTACTCTTCTGTACAAAAGTTATACTTCTTTTACAATACTTACTTAGTTTGGATTTGTTGTGGCTTTTATTTTTATATCCGTCTTCTCCAGCAGATAGAAATGCAGTGGGACAGGAAGAAGGTGTGGTGCTGGGGATGCTTTCTCTGCCTCCACCTTTGGTGGCAAAGCAGTCTGAGAGAACTTTAAAGTGACTGAAGCTCATCAAAGTTAACATATAGGGGAGTCAAGAAGTGATATTCCCTTGAACCACCTACAGAGGGTGAAGAAATGAGCAGAGGAGAGAGCAAAGAAAAGTGTTCTCCCTCTAACTGCTTCTGCTGGACTTTGGCAAAAAAAGAAGTCTTCTCTGCCTAGTAATGATGGCCAGAGTGACAGAAAACACAAATAGTGATGGCCAGGGTGAGAGAAAACACAGGGTTTCGTATTGCTTTTTCTATTTAATCATTTCTTACTTATCTTTTGGGGCACAGCTCTTATCTTATTTCTTTTATGATATGTTTAATGATTACTCTAGTCATCAATTGTCTGTAATTATAATAATATTTATTGTTTGTAACTTTTAACAGTTACATATATAACTTAGTTACATATACGTATGTGCGTATATTAGAAGTTCCAAACAATAAGTATGATTAGTATTTGTTTATATCAATCTTTCCTCTCTTTCCATTATTTATTTCTTTTAAAAAAAGATATACTTCTCTTCTGCTTTTATGTCTACTAGCGTTTCTCTCACTGTACTTAGGACATTGCCCAAGTTCTTATATATTTTATTAATTTGGAAAGAATATCAAGGATGTGGAAATGTGTGTGACATTAATTATTCATTCAACAGGTATTTATTGAGTACCTACTTTATGGCAAGATGCCATGCTAGTACTGGGAACACAACAGCTTGGAAAAATGAAATAATTACTTTTGAATTTTATCTAACTCAAAACTGTGGAGTGACCCTGAAAATACAAAATAATTTTAAACCGTGATTGCTTTAAATCTATTTAAATAGTATGTACTTGAGGCAGTGTAGTGCAGTGATTGAGGATATGTATTTTGTGGTTAGACAGACATTGGCTTTGAGTTGTGTGACTTGAATAGGTATCTCAGTCACTCCAGGCCTATTTCACCATGTGTGAATTGAAAAAAATAATTCCTATGTTATAGGATTAAATAAGATAATGTATATAAAATGCTTACCATGCAGTCTGGCACATAGGAAGCCTTCAGGTGGTAGGACTTAAATTATTTTTTAAATTGGCTACTTTAAGTGGAAATAGGCCTCCATCTTATCAGAAATTATCTTCTGATAACTTTGCTTTTACTTATATGTAAATAATTTTTCAAAGAAGCCTCATGGGACACGGGAAGGACATAGGATTTATAATGAAAAGTTCTGGGATCTAATGATATTAGGAAGTTTACTTAACTCATAAAGGAAGTTTTAATAGCCTTTTATTAGCCTGTGGAGGGTTGGTACCAAAGATAATTTGATCTGGGACAGAAAATTTGCATTGTTTCTTAGGAGTTATTAATATAATACTTTTATGTCAGAATATTTCTCCTTTGGAATACAGAATGATAACATACCTACTTTTATATAACATATCTACTTTTCCTCCCCTTTACTTATTTTTAATTGTTATTTTATTAGGCTATTCATTCAATTGATTGGCATCATGAAGGCAAACAATTCATGTGCAGCCATTCAGATGGTAGCTTGACTTTGTGGAACCTGAAAAGCCCAAGTCGCCCTTTCCAGACCACTATTCCACATGGTAAGATGTATGCTTTCCAAAGAAATAAGCACTGGAGGTACAGTACCTTGACTTGAAGTAGGAGAGGTAATATCAGTGTGTTTGGTAGAAAAAAGTAATAGGAAATGGCTTCTGGTTCTAACTACCTATTTAAACCACAGATAGATCCCTACATTATGCCCCAAACTTTCTGTTCTTCCTTTCTTCCTAACAATGTGCTTTCCTATCTTGTAAGCTGTACTTACATAGAGACTGTCTCAACTGAAAACTGGATAACAAATAGTTGATATATCTGAGGCAGAAGAGATAATATAGGAAATTTGGCCAGTTTTAAGAGTTGAGGAGCAAGTGCGAGAATGTCACTATGTACATCTGACTTTCAGACCTAATTCCTATACTGCTTTGTAGTCTATCATTTTCTAAATCCTCCCACTTGTTTCTATTTCTGTCATTTGATTTCACTAAATTATGAGGACTGAGATTTTAATTGCAGGTTTTATTTATCTTATTATCTTTTACATTGAAAAGAAGATTTTAACCCTAAATGAGGATTTTAATAGTAAACAAGGATTTATATTAGATCTGTGTACCTAACTAGGCAGAATAAAAAAAAAATCAAGTATATGAATATGTATAATTCAGATGACCAAATTATTTCAGATAATATGGGTGATGATCTGAGTTCCATGTTTACCTCACACCATTGCTTGTTTGTAAGAACAGAGAGGTCAAAAACCTAACAGTTAGTCAAACATTCTGTTTTACAGTTTCTGAACATTTGCTATGATGTCAGATTTAGAAAATAATAGTACATTTTCTATACTTGGTGTGCTTGAGAAGAACGTATATTTCCTAACTTTTACATAAAGACTAAGGTCAAACTTGAACTTGTGTTTTTCATTTTGTGTGGTTTAAATCTTCACTAATTATTTCTTTGATGTTTCAATTCTAAGAGAGGTGAGTTAAAAATGTCTTTTATAATGGGTTTTCCCTTGTAATTCTGTTCATTTCTGCTTTACATACTTTAAAAATTAAATAGGTCAAAGTGGTTGATAGTGTTTATCAGATTCTCTGTGATATTACTGATTATTTGTCTGGTGCTATCAGTTGCTGAGACAGTGGTACAGGTACTAAAATTTCCTAACATGATTGTAGAATCGCTTTCTTCTTCCTTTAATTCTGCCACTTTTTGCTTCAGGTATATTGAGGCTCTATTTTTAGGCATCCATTATGTTTCCTGTAGAGAGCATTTTTGTATTTTCTGTTTCTCTGCTGAGATTTTATTTTTTCATTCATTACGAGCATTTTCCTTTCCTTTAAGCATTGAGCTTAGTTTTAATAGATGCTTTAAATCTTTATCTGATAATGCTAACATTTGAAGTTTCTCCTTGAAGTTGGCCTCTGTTTATTAGCACAGCTCACATTTTCCTGCTTATTCATACATCTAGTAGTTTGGATTATATCCTACATAATGTGGGCATTATGTTGTGTATATTCTAGAAGATAGTTTTGTTGCCCCACTGCTCCTTGGTCATTGTTTCTCCTGTACTAGAAACCCTATCTAGAAGGACTTAAGTATTTTTCTACAAATAAAAATTTTCAATACTGAAAAGGTACTCTTTGTCTGAAACTCAAATTATTAAACAATGGTGGCCTTAAAGGAAGATAAAAACAGCTAATGAGGCTGGATCATCACCTGTTTCACTTCAGATTAGCACTGTGATGGCATTGCTCTTGTAGCTGGTGCTGCTGGTGCTGCAGACATTGATATTCTTTCACAGTAAATCAGAATGGTTTCCAATACATATTCTTTGATCACAGTGCCCTAAGTTAAACACACAAACTCACATGCAACATGTATCGATATACATGATATTAAACTAAATCCTATTAAAATATTTAATAATGAAATTTTTGCTCAGAAACAGGACGGGGTGTCCACAGTTGCCATTTTTATTTAAAATTTTCTTGGAAATACTAGCTAATGTGATTAGATTTGAAAATGCAATTTGATACTTAAAAATTTAGAAAGAGGATTAAAAATTTAGTTACTTTTTGATAGTGTAATTGCACAACTAAAAAACAAACTAATTAAGAAAACTATTACATATAACATTAGAATTCTGTATACACAACAAACAAAATATAATGGATTAACAGAACCATTTTAAATAACAGCATGCAAAAGAATACCTGGGAGTAAATCTTAAAGTAAGTGTAAAGTATTATTTCTACTATGGGACATAAAAAAGTAGACTTGATAAATGAAAAACATACCCTACCTGTGCAGAGGTAGATTCAATATTTTAAAGATGTTAATTACCCACATATTACTTCATAAATTTAATTTTTTCCCAAGGAAAATAATAGCAGGGTTTAAAAAAAAATTAGATGAGCTAATATGTAGCAAAAATAAACATGAAAATAGAAAAATTATGTAAACAAGGAGTAATGGTCAATTATGAGCAGTTTGGAAGGTTAGATGCCCTGGATAATTTCTACTGAAATAAAATGCTGAATATTTGGGGGCTTTTAACAATTTTTTAAAATGTCATTGAGCTGGCAAGCATGAAAATAAGGACTCTAAAGATCCTGAAAGAGAATGTTGAACTAGAAATCCTGAAAGATAACTAAGTGGTAAAGATAGATTTTTTAATGGTGTATTATCCTTTTAATATAGTTTTGAATCCAATTTGCTAAATTTTGTTTAGAATTTTGCATTAACAGTAGTCCCCCCTTATCTGAGGTTTCACTTTCCATGGTGTCAGTTACCCACAGTCAACCACAGTCCAGAAATATTATTATCATCATTTTGATAAACTTTTTTTTTTTTTTTTTTTTTTTTTTTGTCTTTTTGTCTTTTTCCGTGTCCGGCAACGGATCGCAACCCTCAGTGTTGCCCCCGTACCGGACCGGGGACCGGCAACAGGATTGCAACCCCCAGTGTTGCTCCCGCACCTCACTCAGCCAGTGAGCGGGAACCGGTCTGTATGTGGGATCCGAACCCTCGGGCGGGAGCGCCGCCGCGCTTCCCAAGCGGCGCACTATCCAGTGCGCCACCGGGCCGGCCCTTGATAAACTTTTTATTAAAGTATAACATACATGGAGAAAAGTGCCCAAATGGTAAGTGTTCAGCTCAATTAACATTCTCAAATGAGCACACCTGTATAACCATCAGTCAGTTCTACAAGTACAATACTAGCAACACTACAGATGCCGCTCTCGGGCCACCTCCTGGTTCCTCACCCCTCCAGTGTTAACTAGTGTCCTGGCTTCTAACCCCATGGATTATTTCTGCCTGTTGTTGATATATTAAAGCCAACAGCCAAATACCACCAAGGACAAAACATCAGTCAGTTCAACAAATTTAGGCTTCTTGGCTTGCCACAGCAAGGAGGTGCACCTCAGGAACTGTGGGCTGCATCTTGGTAAGAGGAGGGGCAAAGAAAGGGTTTGGGTTGAATAATTCTGAGAAGCTAGGGAAGAAGGGACAGCAAGCAGGACTGCAGTGGTGTTGGTGAAAAAGTGGTAGTAACTTGAAGAAGGGGATCATTATAATACTTAGCTTCTGCAGCATGACCTTGGGAGGAATATTTACTGTCAGCTTTGCCCCTGGCTTTATATCTATCATCAGATGATAGTTATCAGAGATAACAGACAGGGATGGTTTTTCCACTTTCTCTGTCTCCAGCTGATTTTTACTTTCAATCACGAGCCAATTTTACTTGTTTGGAATAAGTAAAATCACACAATAGTCATCTTTTGTGCCTGGCTTCTTTCATTCAACATTTTCTTTGTGAGATTCATTTCTCTTGTGTGTAATTATGGGCTGCTTATTATTAATGCAGTGTAATATTCCCATCTGTCAACATACTACACTTTAACCATTCTGCTGTTGACAAGCACTGGAGAATTTTCAGTCCTTTGCTCTGGTAAATAATGCCGTTATGAATATTCTAGTACATGCCTTTACATAAACATCTGTACCCATTTCTGTTGGGCATATACCAAAAATAGAATTGCTGGGACATCTGGTACACATATATTCAGCTTTAGTAGAATCACTTTGCATCTCACCAGCAGTACATGAGAGTTGCACTTTCTCCACATCCTCACCAATGCTGGTGTTTTCTGCCTTTTCATTCCGGCCATTATTGTGGATGTGTAGTACTACATTGTGGTTTTAATTGCATTTTCTTCATGACTAATGAGGTAGAATATTTTTCATGTATTCATTGGCTATATTTTTAAAATTTTTTATTGAGACATATTGATTGCACATGTTTATGGGGAACAACGATATATACATGTGTACAATCTGTAATGATTTATTCAGAGTAATTACCATAGTCATGATTGCAAAACTTAATCATTTCTTTGTGATGTGTACATTTGAGCTCTCTTCTACTTGTTTGGTAACATGCAGTAAATCATTGTTAGTTATAAAAATGGATCAACTGTACACCAATAGGACTTACTTTTCATATCTAGCTATAATTTTGTGTCCATTGACCAGATTCTTTCTATACCTCCTCCCTCCTCCCCTTTCCTGCCTCTGGTAACCACAGTTCTCTATTGAACAGTTCAACTTATTATCATTATTATTTATTTGTTTTTTAGCTTAATTTTGTTCTCTTTTTTACCTTCCACATACGAGTAAGAACATGTGGTATTTCTCTTTCTGTGCCTGGCTTATTTCACTTAACATAATTATCTCCAAGCTCATCCGTGTTGCTGTGAATGGCAGAATTTCATTCTTTTTTATGCCTGAGTAGTATTCCATTGTGTATATGTACCACATTTTCTTTATCCAGTCGTCTGTTGAAGGACATTTAGGCTGGTTCCACATCTTGGCTATTGTGAACAGAGTTGTGATAAACATGGAGTTGGAGGTATCCCTTTGACATGATGCTTTCCATTCCTCTGAGTATATACCCAGTAGTAGGATTGCTTGCTGGTAGTTCTATCTGTAGTTGTTTGAGAAAGCTCCATCCTGTTTTTCCATAATTTCTTTACTAATT